AAATCATTAAACAACCTCTTAATAGGTATTGTGCCAAACATGTAATTAGGATGTTTTCTTTTGGACTGTTTTCAGTCCCAGACCAGACCAGACCAGACTTAAACAGACCAGACCAGACCAGACCAGACTTAAACAGACCAGACCAGACCAGACCAGACTTAAACAGACCAGACCAGACCAGACTTCCGTAGTTATAAAATACACAGAGACCAGACGTTTACCAGACCAGACCAGACCAGTTCAGACCAGACCAGACCAGACCAGACTTAAACAGACCAGACCAGACCAGACCAGACTTAAACAGACCAGACCAGACCAGACCAGCAAATTTCAGTCCAAAAGAAAACATCCTTAGTACGAAAACCAGAAGCTATAAACTAATGTCTACCAAACAAAATTGTACTTAAATATTCAAATTCCAAAAACGTCATGTCTAATGTCATACTTATGTAAAGTCGCATATTTATTTTAGAATATGTTATATTTTCTTAATTAGGAAAGTTCTGAGAAACGAGCCAACTTGAGAAATTAATACGGGGTATCGCTTGGACATTGACCAACTTTTACTTCAATTCTAACTTATCAACCAGTTTTCTTCAGGAATGGCCACTTGTTTCAAAGATGGACGACGGGGTGTTGTTTCGGACTAACTTTTGGATGCTTTCGGTGCATGGCTGAATTTTTCAGAGATGGAAGCTTTGTTTATTCATCAAATCATCATTACTACTTCTCCGTTCTTTTTTAATTGCAACAGTCAACTTTTCACGCTTGCCAACGCATAAGTTTGACCGTTAATATCTTTCATTCCTTATTAGTAAAAAATTAAAGAAAAAAACAGATTTTGAAAATTTATTATGAACGGAATTTGAAAATATTTTTTAAAAATTTAACTTATAATGCATTAACAAATAAAATGTAGTCAAAGTAGAATCTGTGAATAGTGAAAAAAGTCCTACGTTGCAACTAAAAGATAACGGGGTAGGTGTGTAATTAATTAGTTGTTTAAATTTGATCTCATTTGCTTTAATATTGTAGTCATATTATTATTTTTTAAAGGTCCTCGACTCCTTACCATAAAAAAAAGGTCCTCGACTCCTCAACTATTAAAAAGAAAGAAAGTCGAATTGGTGTCCAATTGAGCTTTTATTGGTGAAATTTAAATGTATACTCAACCGGCTAAAAACTGAAATTGAGTGTTTTTATAGTTGGGGTGTTTGATCGAGCGATTTAGTAGTACGAGGACTCGTTAATTAACTTCTTAATTTTGAGCTCTACTCGTACGCTTCGTGCTCTTTCTTTCTTCTCTCCTTGACTCTCTTCTTCGGTCATGCATCCAATAGACAAACCTATGAACCCGGCCCCTTTTCCTCCTTTCTTTTGTAACCCCATCCAACTCACAATACCGGCCTATCCTTTCTCCGTGGACGATGGGCTGCACAGACTAATGAACACAGAGACAAACTCATTGGTAAACTTGCAGATTCGATGGATCACTTCAACAACCTCTGACAGAAGATGGAGCAAGACCTCCCGTGACTTCGCAACAACCACCCATTCGTTTCCGATGACATCGCATCATCCACCATGCCAACATCGACCGGTTTTTGCAGCAGCAGAGAGAATCAGGAAGATGGACCAAAGAAGCAGAAGATTGAAGAGCGGTGAATCCGTGCATAACATTGTTGGTGTGCCCCGCGTCGAAGAAGAAGATCGCTGGAGAAGAAAGGCAAGAGAAAGACAAGGGCAAAAAAAGAAAAGGAAAAGGGGAAATAATGTAAAATTTGCCATGTGGATCAGCCAAGTGGGTAAGTTAACCTATTAATCCCTTCTTTACCGGCAAAAATGCCAAATTGAGTTTTTTTTTTATAGTTGAGATGTTTGATTGAGTGATTTAATAATATGAAGATTCAATTGACTTTTTTTAATATAGTGCTAGAACTTATTTGAGAGTTTTCCCTTTTAATAAAAGTGCAACAATTATTCATATCGTAATTATAAAAAATGCAACGGAAAACTATCAAATGTGCATTCGTTGTATATATGTAAAATAGTAAATACTACCTCCGTAACGTAAATATCTTCCCACTTTCCTTTTTTGGACGTAACACTAATATCTTCCCATTTCTAAATCTTCCCATTATACCCTCAATAATTCTAAAAATAATACATTATTACACCTACTTTTTTTGGATTTATCCTTCATTCCATCACATTATTTCACTATCTTCCCATCATACCCCTAATAATACATATCTCCTTTCACTATTCTTAATCTACCTACTTTTCAAATAGGAACATCCCAATGTTACGGAGGTAGTAGCATTGATACATTTAATGCTACGTAAGATTTATGCATATGTGGCAGTTAGATTGCCTATTTCTTTCTTTTTTCCTGTCTCCCCTTTCATCTTCCCCCACCCGACCTTCTCTCCCCCTTTAGCCATACACGTATGTTTCCTCCGAATTTGCCAATGACTAAATGGTGGGGACTCCAACTCTGAACCCACCAACATCGATGGAAAGAACTCCGAACCAAAACTTGTTTTCCAAAATAGAAAGATTCCATAAGTAAGCTTATTCACTTCTCGATCTGCCACGTCGATAAAGGAAAAGGGGGAAAACATCAAAAACAGCTACCTAGACGGCCACGTAAGCACATTGACCAACTAATATGGACTTAACCTATTAAATTATACATTTGAACATTTATACATAGTTTGTGGTCTTAATTAAGTGTTTTTAGTTTTAGAGATTAATTGACCTTTTTTATATACTACAAGGTCTATTTGACAGTCTTCCATAGAATTAAATACTCCGTAATAACTAATACTCCGTGTATGACCAAAATAAGCACAAATTATAAAAAAATGTGACTTAATAACTTTAGTTATTACTCTGTTTGTGTCAAAGTAATGGAGGCCAAGATGACTGCGTCCAAATTACCTCCTAAAATTTCTGAGTGAAGTTACTTGGTGATGGTGGCGTACTTAGGGTGGGGTTGTAGCATGAAGGAATTGAGCATTGGTGGGGGAAGAGTATAGATCAAGGAGATTACGGTGATAATGTATTGGATTATGGCAGGTCTGTGGCGAGGGATTAGGGCACTGGGTAAAGGCGAGATAGGGGGAGGACCAATGCAACAGTTTTGTTGCTCATCACTCAATGTAGGCAAAACGTACAATATACTCAATTGTATCATGCGGATTGGAAAATGCAATATACAAAATGTACAATATACTCAATTACAATCGTGTAATGAAGGTAAAAACACTTATTTTTTTACAATGATTTGAAAATATTGCCAATTTTATGACAAATTATACCAGATGTTCATATTAATTTTAGAGTCAATGTGTCATTTTTCGAAAACCTAATTTCTATATTGTGTTCGATTTTTGTTCAAGATGTTCATTTCTTATGTTGTGAATAAAATGACATTTTCTCTAGCTAAATGCCCATTTTTGACTTTTGAGTTTGAAAACCGGCAGTGATGGTGCAGTGATGCTCAGTGCGCGGTGGTGGTGGAGAACGTGACAATGGTGTTGGAGATCGGTTGGCATGATAGACTCACTTGCTAGCTTGTTTATAGTCCTATTGCCCTCAATCATTGTTGTATAATGTTTTTAATTGTTTATAATTCGGTATAATCTGGTCTTGATAGATTCCTGGGTGATGCATAAAATATCACTTGTAACCAATGTTCTTAAAGGCTTTAATAAGCGCCACCAATGCGGGAGAAAGCTTGAGGCGGCGACCAAACGCGTCGCACACTCACTAGGCGCAGCTAAAGGCGTTCTCATTTACTTAAACCCCCAATTTTCGTTGGATTCTTCTTGTTGTACACACCATGTCTTCATAGACATATGTCTTCATAGACATATTTTTGTTTATGACGGGGATTCATAGACAAAAAAAAACTCCTCACATACATGGTGGGTACAAAAATGGATACAATAGTGGGTACAAACAGATTTTTCCATTTTCGTTCGTCATTAGCCATTTCAGTCCAATGAGGCCTTTATACTATGAATCGAAGCAGGGGGCTACTTTATAAAGCGTCCCAAAGAGAGGATTCTCCTCTTTGTATCGGTGTGGGACAAAAGTTCAAATACGTGGTATGAAGTGTGAAGCATCAGAAAAGGTTCCAACTTTTCAATCTAGGTTGACTTTGTACAGTCTGTGGCATATGGTTCTAATTTTTCTACGCCCCTAATTATTAAACTATTGAATTGAATTTCGTAAAGTTATTATTATTATCGTTATTATTAGTACTCTGAATTATTATTATTAGACTCCTTCATATTTTAAAATTTGCTATGTTTTTCTATTTTAGATGTTGTGAAACAAATTTTAATTATTTACTTAAAATTGATCGCAAATAATAGTATATGAGAATATTGGGTACAATCTCTAAATATGAATCCTCTGATTCTTCACTTCAATTTGATATGAATATAATTAAAGAATTTAATTCAAAACTAAATCTCTAATCCTTCAAACATTCGAACGTTCTTCAAATCTTCGAATCTTCGTTCTTGAGATCTTCGAATCTTTTTGAAAAAAGAATTCAGATTGAAGGGCCTCCGGTTTTCAAGTGGCTTGATCTTCAACAAAACGGTCGTTTTATGGCTTGATCTTCTGTTTAAGGGCCTCCCGGGATATATGGTTTGATCTTCAATTCAATCTTCATATGAATATCTTCAAATCTTCAAAGATTCGTTCTTCACATCTTTGAATCTTCTAGATTCGTTCTTCAGATCTTCGAACGTTCTTCAACTTTTGGGTTTATTCATATATTCATATACGAATAATATATTCGACTTTTGGGTTTCTTCGTTATTCATATATTCTTGAGAAAATTCGTGGTTTGATCTCTTCCTCTTCTTTGGAATCGTTCATTTTCAACTTTAGCATTCTATTCTTGAGAAGGATTCTATTCAATTTCAACTTTAGCATTCTATTTAATTCTTTTCATCAGCACAACTATCCCCATAGGAAGGATTCTATTTAATTCTATTCAATTTCAACTTTAGCATTCTATTTAATTCTTTTCACCTGGCTTGACGTTTATCAGCTTCAGAACTTAACATCTACTCAAACTCTGCTACCAATATGTATAAATATTAACCTTGCTACTTCCTTTGTGCATCAAGAAGAAGCCTTAGGAAGAGAAATCGGCAAATCAACAGGTACATCCACTCTTATTTTTTTAATCAAAGCCTTCTCTTCTCTTTTGCCAATTTGCAGGGCGAATCTCAAGAGAAAAATAGCAGCTGGTTCCATAATCAATTCTGGACCATGACAACTGTTCTTTCTTCCAATCGGGGACGGAGGGCTTCTCCTCCGTCGCTGTATGTAGGAGAATGAAGGTCGTCGCTTTGAGAAAGGCGTGTTACTGGTGCAGCTCGCCGGAGAAGGTGATGGGCCTATCTCTGTCGGAGGTCGTCCAGAAGCTGATTCCTTCACAGATTGAGGCGAAGCCGCCGGAGATCACTGGTGAGGGGCCACCGTTGCTTTCACCGCCGGCTGAAGAAAGACGCTCGTGATGGTTCGATTTGCTGTGCTGCAGCTTTGGCGTGGCGAGAAGAAAGAATTCTATCAATTTTTTGACGCTGTTCTCGTGCGAAGAAGACGATAGGGGTTAAATTTTGGCATCGGACGCTGTTGTTCGCTCCCCGGAGCAGATAAGGCCGATGCGATGCCGTCGCTGCAGAGTTTCCTTCGCGCTTATGTTTTCCGATGGCTAGGCTGGCGTACTCCCCTGCGTAGAGTAGAAGATGCCCGGAGATCAGAGAAGGAGATCGAGGAGGAGCCGTGTGTCTTTTTTATTTACGCGGGATGTTTGGAAATGATTCTGATTCTGCTTCTTTTTTACTAGCAGAAACAGAATCAGAATCAGTTTTCAGAATCTGGTACTCTCAGCTTCTAAAAAAATTGATTCTGGGAGTAAATTAGAGCTTCAGAAGCGCTTCTGAAATTTCACTCAAACACTCCAGTTTCTGATTCTGCTCCTTCGGGAGCAGAATCAGTTTTGAGAATCAGATCCAAACATCCCCTTAATAGCTTTTTCTTTATGCCCTTTTTTCCCAAACGACTACATATGACTCCTTAAGCTGCTGGACAGTTAAAGCAGCACAAGTATATTTGAGGACTAGCGCTCATCTTGAAGACTCAAAGGATGGGTCACTTTGAGAAAGGAGTTTAGCCGATTGTCGACTGTCGGTGCTGCTTAGCCCTTTGTTAGGATGACATCGATTTAAAGAATTAGGACGATTGCCGATCGTCGGTGGCGTCGTTCAAGACACCATTGCTTTTGTTGTCGACGCCACCTGCTCCGTTGTTGGGATGGTGACGCCGTTCAAGACACCATTGCTTTTGTTGTGGGCGCCACCTGCTCCGTTGTTGGGATGGTGGCGTCGTTCAAGACTCTAAAAACATCATTGTTGTTGGCATCGGCGCCACCTGCTCCGTTGTTGGGATGGTGGCGTCGTTCAAGACTCTAAAGACATCATTGTTGTTGCCTTTGGCGCCACCTGCTCCGTTGTTGGGATGGTGGCGTCATTCAAGACACCATTATATTGCTTTTGCTGTCGCCGCCACCTGCTTCGTTGTTGGGATGGTGGCGTCGTTCAAGACACAATTGCTTTTGCTGTGGGCGCCACCTGCTTCGTTGTTGGGATGGTGGCGTCGTTCAAGACTCTAAAAACATCATTGTTGTTGGCGTCGGCGCCACCTGCTCCGTTGTTGGGATGGTGGCGTCGTTCAAGACTCTAAAGACATCATTGTTGTTGCCGTTGGCGCCACCTGCTCCGTTGTTGGGATGGTGGCGTCATTCAAGACACCATTATATTGTTTTTGTTGTCGCCGCCACCTGCTCCGTTGTTGGGATGGTGGCGTCGTTCAAAGTTCAAGAGACACTACTGCTACCACTGTTGTCGGCGCCACCTGCTCCGTTGTTGGGATGGTGGAGTCATTCAAGACACCATTATATTGCTTTTGCTATCGCCGTCACCTGCTCCGTTGTTGGGATGGCGGCGTCCTTCAAAGTTCAAGAGACACTACTGCTGCCACTTTTGTCGGCACCACCTGCTCCGTTGTTGGGATGGTGGCGTCATTGTGGAGACATCGTTTGAAGCTCAACTCAATCAATTTCCGATGAGGAAGAGATCAAAGAATTCCCAAGCCTTTGCCATTCATCTGACCTTTTCTTTCGTAAGCCTTCTTCTAATATTCTCTTTGGCAAAATGACTTAATTGGGATTTATTTTGTTATAACTGAACTCAAAGATGAAACTTTTGAGCTACCTACGTACTCATGTGAAGGAGATCAATTCAAATGTAGTTCATAATACCATTTGAATAGGTAATTTAAAGGGACCATACATAGTTTTAACTCATGCGGGTCAGGAGTTTGTCGTACACATTTTAAACTCTCGTGGGCCAAGAGTATTTATGATTATGCTCACCCATAGACAAAGTGAGATGTTTTAGCAGTTTAGCCACTTACAACATCATTGGTGGTTTAAGGCTTTCAAAATTTCATTTGACATATCTATACCCTGGTATCAAGGGTACTGAATCTTCAAAGTTGGTAACGTAGGAGCTCACACATTGGTTTTCATATTGACCATGAGTGTGCACAATGGTCACTGGTTTGACTTTAAATTCATTTCCATAGGTCACTTTCACATCAGTTTCTCGCTTCATACGAGATGGGATAAAAAAATTATATTCATTAATACTTTGCTTTTCGAGAGGAACTTTAGCAGATGTATTGCGTTCATGTTTCAATCTCAATCGTTCATGAACAGACGTTCTTTTAAAGTTTTGTCCCATGCATGTGTCTTCAACGTGTTTCATCATCATTGGGCTAGTTCCAAGCCGTACTTGTAAAGTCTTCTTTATGATTTTCTTTGGCTCTGGCCTCATTCTGTCAAAGATGGCGGGTCTTGATCTTGCCCCCCCAATTCGATCAAAGACAGATACTCCGACTTAGAAGTCACTTTGTCTTCTTCATCAGCACTGATATGATGCGTTGTGTCTCTATTTATGAGGATCCTTATGGGTTTCGGTTGAACATAACCTAATCCTGTGTGCCCTCGAAGATTGATCTCCTTCGGTTTCCCTTCACCTCCAGCTTCCGAAATGAGTTTTCCTAACTTCTGTTCGTTGGGATTATACCCAACCTTGGCCAAAAGTTTGAATGCGTTTGGGTCAAATCCTTCATTTGTGCGTGCCTTAGGGAGCTGAAATGCCTTGACATCATTCTCGTTTTTCACTTCCTCCTCGGATGTGTTTTGAGGAGGTCATGATATTTCAATCTTTGCAAGAGGGAATGTAAGCCTTTCTACGCCTTCAACAAGCATTCCTTTTAACTTTGGTCCGACCAAGGGGCGGTATTCTTCCTCTTGTCTGGCATCATCATCTTTAGAAACTTTGGCCTTTATGTAAAATTTCGCATCTGCAAAGTATGTCTCGGCTTTTGTGAATGGAGTTTCATCGGCCTCCGCCTTCTTTACAACACCATTTCCTCATACATGTAGCATTGGTGCCACGTTGAAGGAATTACACCATTCTCATGGATCCATGGGCGGCCTAGAAGGAGATTATATGAAGACCTCATGTCAATGACATGGCACAGAGTGCTTTCCTTCAGCCCGTTGATGACCAAATCAAGACGTATCATTCCAATCGCCCGTTGCCCCCTTGATTGAAGCCTTGAATCATCAAGCGACTTTGGGAGAGTTCATCCATTGATATATCAAGGTCTTTCATAGCTCGAACCGTCAAAATGTTAACGGCAGACCCTTGATCTATCATAATTCTTCTGAATCTTTGTACACGAATGTATCCTTCAACAAAAAGCGGACGGATATGGGGAGTGGCACCCGACATGAGATCTTCGTCTTTAAAGACAATGTCAGTGGCGTATGAAGTGGATTTTTGTGCTTTAGCCACTTCTTTCTTAATCGAAACTAGAGATGAACATCCACTTGAACTTTCAACTTCTTTCTCATGGGTGGTAAGACAAGAACTTGAAATTTGAGTCATCTCGTTCTTGAAATCCTTCAGCATAAAGTTGTTGAGAGTAATCACTCTTCGTGCAGCCTTGGAATGAACATAATCCTTCCTTTGTTTCTTTTGCTTCAACTCATTTATTGGTTGCTGTCTGATCCATTCATTACCACCTTCTTCGGTTGTGGCTTAGGTGTGTGGTTCTTCTATTGTTTCTTTCGACTTACCAAGGTCCACGATCTTCCTTGGTCATCAACATCCTCAAGTGCCATTCTTTTAGTGAGAGGAGGACATTCTTTCATTTCCTTTACAGTAAAAGGGAGCTTATGCTTGTGATAACTTGGATCATTGTTGACCATGAGCGGAGCAAACCTACCAAATGTAATGCTGATTTGGTTTGTGCTTGCGGCAGAATCAGCAAGCTCAATCTTTCCTTCTCGAGCCAGGGCCATAATTTTATCTTTAAGCACCCAACACTTCTCGGTGGGGTGACTTAGAATTCGATGATACTTGCAGTATTTGGGATCATCAACCTTTGTGGCTTCCTCGGGTCGCTTGGACTCAGGCAAACTGATAAGATTTAATCTCATCAGTTTCTCAAACATGGGAGGAACGTCAGAGTCTAGGAAGGGGTACTTATTTTCCAACATCTCTTCTAAAAATGGTTTAACACGTTTTGACGCCTCCAAGTCGACCCTAGGAACTTGCTTCGAATTTCGAGTGAAGATCTTAACAAGTGCAGTCTTCGCGACCATTGCTTCTTTCTTTTCAAACTTAGAAAAGGGCTTGCCCCCATTCTTGGTATCTTGTTGTTCCACCGCATTATTGACGGGATACATATCCACAGTTTTCCTTTTACTGCTCGTAATTCTCAACTCCATGTTACGAGCTATGTTGCACGGATACGGATACGCCAATACGCGGATACGCGGATACGGGTACGGCGATACGGCACTTTCAAAAATTATAGGATACGGGTACGGGGGTATATTTATAAATAATAAAAATATAGGGTATAATTTGCAAATATATATAATCCAGGGGTTCATAAATAAAATAATAATAATTGTACAAACAATTAACTATTATAATAAAGTTTCAAAGATTAGTCTAAAAAACTAAAGTATTGATATTTTGATTTAAATTCAAATAATTTTTTTTGTTCTCTATTTGCATTTACATCCAAGTCTTGTTTCAATTAAATATCATCAAGCAATGAAATGTCAAATTATAGTATTCCATTATTTTTCATACTCCCGAAACCATCTTTATCAATGTTCCACATGTTGTGGTCGCTTGGTTGGCTACTAAATTTTCGTCATGTCGTGTATAAAATGAGGGGTTATAGGTTCAGATACGCGTATCGGTTCACGGATACAGGTATCGGAAGTATCGGTATTTTTAAAATTAAGCCCGATACTTTTATTAAATTACGGATACGGACCCAATACGTACAGGACGGGTATCGGTGAGTATCGGATACGGATACGTATCGGATACGCGGATACGTGAAGTATCGGTGCAACATAGGTTACGAGCTTTGCTTGCTAGCTCATCAAAAGTGTTTGGATTGACTCCTTTGAGAATGTAGCACAATTCCCAATGCATTCCTTCAATGCACATATCGATAGCGGAGCTTGTAGAGATTCGTTCTTTGCAGTTTAGAGCAAGATCCCTCCAACGCTCTATGTAAGCTATCACAGATTCATCTTTCCATTGGCGAGTAGTTGTTAGTTAGAGTAAACTGACCACCCTTCTTGTGCTATAGAAATGGTTTAAGAACTAATGTTCCATATCTTGCCAGTTATCAATGGAACCGGGCTCCAAGTCAGTATACCAGTCAAATGCATTTGCTTTCAGGGAGCGCACAAACTGCTTGACAATGTCTGTGGAAATAGTTTTTTAGAAGTTAAAGAGTTATCAACTTTTGAAAAGCTAATTTTGATTTTATTTATGCTTTTAAAAAAGAATCACAGTAGGAATCAATTTGATTTTGCATGCACCCTATTAGTAATTGGCAAATTATACCCTACGACTGGCACACCATGAGTGTGCCGGATCCCAATACCTATCGTTTCTGCAATTAAAATCGTTTCTCCGATCCATCACCGCACATATTTCTTCTCCAGCACCCTTCCCAAGCAACCGACGCAAGGTTTCCTCCCCCAGTTTTTATTCTTCCCATGTTTCCACTAACTTTTCATTTCCAGTAATTGTTATTCCCTGCTTTCCCCTCCGTCTTCTCTTTGTCCTGCTTTTCGTGGTTGTCAAGGTTTTATACATTTTAAAGAGAAGTAAGGAAGCATATTTTATGCAAGTATATGGAGTGTGTGTATATATAGTAATTAAGACATGAAGTTACATATCTGTAAAAACGTTTTACATTTCAACAGTCTAAAGTTACATATCCCAAGTTACATCTAATTTGTTTCCAAGTTACATTTCAATTAATGCAGTTTACATTTCAACGAGTTACATGTGAATGAATATAATTTACATTTTGGTTAATTTGAAGTTACATATGGGATCACACGAGATACATCTCATATAGCAATGGGTGCATGGTATACGCACTCTTAGTAATTACGAATTGCAATGCATGAATCAAAATTGTAGAGGAACACAACAATTTCTTGCAGGGATCGGTTCTAGGACCCTAAAGAGGGTTGGATTATATTTAGATCAGTTATTATTAAGCGGAAGGTCTGTATTAATTTTGATATTAAATTTGTATTAATAAATCCCGAATTAATTAAACCAGTCATTTTACTTTAATTAAATGATCTATAATCTTTAACCAACATGAACAATAATGTCAACAATGCACCCGGTGTTTATTTCCACACCATCCCTAAATTTATATCAGGCCATTGTTGAAACCTCTCATATAGCAATGGGTGCATGGTGCTCACCATGCACCGGTTGCACGATATACGCACTCTTAGTAATTACGAATTGCAATGCATGAATCAAAATTATAGAGGAACACAACAATTTCTTTTGATCTGAAGTCTCAACTTCCATTGAAAACCTGCTCAAGGACAAATGAACAACCTTCTTCTGACAATCACATCTGTGGCTTTCGAAATTCCATAAAATATTCAACTAACCGAATAGCCGCATCAAGAAGTTGACATGAACTCCGAATCCGAAGCCAAAGTCGACTATCCGGATTCTACCCGCTTTCATACTCCCAATTTACAGTTGCTAAACATGAACATTGCTTGCTCGTTCATCTCAAAGCTTTACCTGAGAACGTCAAATCCGAAAAGTGGAATACTATATTTATCATTTACATCGAATATTTGCCCCTTTCGACATAACGAATCGTTGATTTGAGGATCGGTGGGCTGGACACTCAGTGTCGTGAGTGCCGAATCTTCTCCTATTCGCGGGCAAAGGATCTATCTTTTCTATGTTTCATGCTATGTATGGTTTAGAATTAGTGATTCCATTTTTGGCTGATTATATCATATTTTACAGCTTTTCAGCACTTCCCGTTGCTTATAAGTATCGAGTAGCCGCAGAAGGTAAGCTTAAGCTGCGACTGGGCTTTCTTTTGGAGCTAGGACTCAGGTATGTTTCTTGTCATTCCGATATTATGGTTATTCGATCTTCTTAGTTCTTATTACTCCGTATTATGGTTATTATTACTTCTCTGTTAAATAGACTTTAATAAGCGATCGGGTTTTCTCCTCTTTATCCATATAAATATTAATATATGTATGAGCTAATGGGAGCAACTATATATATGGGCTACTGGGCACACAAAAACTTGTATGCCACCCGTTAATATATTTCCATTCAAGAAGTAATGCATCCAAATATAAATATATAAAGTAATAATTTGTGTTAGTATAGAAATGGAACTGTTAAATTTATTTCTACTATGGGTAATTGGTAAAGCTGCAATGACTATTTGATCAAGTTTAAATTTACCATTTTTCATCTTAATGAATCAAGTTTAACTGTTTGATATTTTCAAAAGCTACAATGACTCCGTTTTTCTAATTAATTTATTCAAAGGCTAATCAATTCTTTCTGATTGATCCAAACCTTTTCTTATTGGAAAATTCTGCTAATAAGAATAAAAGGTAACTAATTTCTTCAAACGTGAGTATCATTTTATTCTGTGAACTTGGGAGATTTTCTATTGCATCTTGTTGCGGGAGCTGATTGTATTGATTTGGGATAAGACTTGATTCTTGCAGTCTTTATGTAATGAAATTAGTTATTCATCAATGTGAGAATAAATGAAAATTCCATATCGGGTGTAACTCTGGTGTAAACTGTGTGGGCTATTTATTGATGTGTTGTCTTACTTTTTTGCCAAAAATATGAATTACAAACGATGCTATACTTGTTATTCATGGATACCAATGTCTTTGTTTTTTGGATGCAGGACATTGTTCTCTGATAACATTTTGTTGAGTCCTTCAAAATTATGGGTGGTTATAATAGCAATGTATGCGTTCTAACCTTTTTTTCTTTCTATTGATTATCCATTTCATTTTCATCATCTTAATAAATAATGGTTAATAGGAGTGGAGTATTCAAGAGACAAGAAAGAAAATGATACAAATACGAAGATATTAAAAAAATGAACAGGTTTCTCACTGATATTATCATGTCAGTGGGCTTATGAGATGTTTTCTTTCATGACTAATCCTTAGATTTTTTATGAACAGGTATTGACTGAAAATTCACAGCAGAATGACCCATGTATGTCTTCTATATTCTTTTGAATATATACTGTCATACTTGCATCTGATGACTATCTTTCACGGGTGCTTTCATTTATTTAAATATTTCTTTATCATACTAAAGAAAAGTTTCACAAGTAAATGTTGCTGATTGAGTTATTGTTTGACACTTGACACATTTCCAGTGGTCGTGATACGCAATGGAAAAGAGATCATCTTACAGGTGACTACTTATGTTCAAGTTTCATTTTTCTTGTTACTATGTAAGTGTAAAGAAAAACATTGAGTTATTATTTTGATGCTTCAGCAAGGTCTTCATGGTTGAGATAAAGTATCGGGTTGCACTGTTGCCACATACTTTGTATATAGCAGTTTCTTTTCTCTCTCTCTATCATTGCTAGAATTCTGCAATGTGTAGGTAACTGGATGTTCACTCTTTATGAATTTGGAATAATTGAATTAATCAAATAATTACGTGTAATGATTTTTAAGATATTCATTGGTGGTACAGAATAAAAAAATTATGTATATATACAATAAATGATAGTTAATTATTTAAAAATGTAATATTGAATTTATGTCCTCCATAGTAATTACACATTTAAATCCTTTTTTGGCCACTGTGTTTCCTACACAAGATCTTGTTGTCCAACTTATTAGTTATTACCAAGCATTAAACTCAATTATTCTACTCATTTTGTTTCCAATCCTGTTTATTCAACTTTAGGTACGTTGTTTGACCAATGTATTACCAAACACAGACCTAGTTCTAGTACTACTCTCAGTCCTAGTACTACTACAACTTATAGACCGATGCCTTATATGCAGGCCTTCAATTGGGAATCCCACAAGTATGACTGGTGGAGGAATTTAGATCGAAAAGTTCCTGATATTTCAAAATCTGGCTTTACAAGTGCATGGTTACCTCCAGCTACTCATTCATTTTCATCAGAAGGTTAATCTGAAAAATACTTTAGTGAACTTACACTGATTCTTTCCATTACTTAATACTATATGTACATAAAATGTTTCTCTTCTATTATGACAGGTTACCTTCCACAAAATCTCTACAATCTCAATTCTGCATATGGTTCAGAACACCTCTTAAAAGCTCTACTTTATAAGATGAAACAGTACAAAGTTAGACCAATGGCTGACATAGTCATTAATCATCGTGTTGGAACTACTCAAGGGAATGGTGGAAGGTATAACCGCTACGATGGAATTCCATTGTCTTGGGATGAGCGTGCTGTTACATGCTGTAGTGGTGGACTGGTAAGCATAATATTTACATTTTTATAATACTTGTGTCTCAATTCAACTCTATAGTAGTCAAACTTTTTTTATATTTGTGCAAGTCGTTTACTCAATGACCAACATGCTAAGCTAGAGGAAACCATTGTTAGTGGTTTCTTAAGTTATCCCATTAGGAACAATTATAAAAACACAAACCCACACATAAGATTTTGGATTTGTTGTTTATGATAAAACCACAAGTCTTAAAATGATATCGAAGTAAATTAACCTTCAATGGGCACTTCGATCTTAGTAAGCCTCCACAGCGAGCACATAAGTTTCAAGAGTGGTATGATCTGACACGCCTCAATCTTATGGCATGTGTAGTCATCCCACACAAATTGATTATAATAATACTCTCACATATAAAGATTTATATTATTGTGTTGTAGGGAAACAGAAGCACCGGAGACAACTTTCATGGTGTACCTAATATTGATCATACACAAAACTTTGTGAGAAAAGACATTGTTGGCTGGTTGCGATGGCTAAGATACACTGTTGGCTTTGATGATTTTCGTTTTGATTTTGCCAAAGGGTAATGAGTATATTGAAGTTTCATATTTTTCAACTTGTCATGTTTTCGTTCAATCTTCTTGTATTGTTAAGATTTCATAACATTCAATTGTAGCTACTCTCCGAAGTACGTGAAGGAATATATTGAAGGAGCAAAACCAATATTTTCCGTCGGTGAATATTGGGATACATGCAACTATAGAGGCACCTATTTGGATTACAACCAAGGTACTGTTGTCCGTTTTAATGGTTTTCTCTTGCATATATGTTTCTTTTGTATTTAAATTTCTGCCTTTTCTTTTTCTTTTTCTTTTTTGAATGTCATGTAGATAGTCATAGACAAAGGATCATTAACTGGATTGATGGAGCAGGGCAGCTTTCAGCAGCATTTGATTTCACAACCAAAGCGATTCTACAGGTTTATTGGTCACTCTAAAAATACTTACTACATACTCCCTCAGTCCCAAAAAGGTTGACCAAAGTTAACTTTCACGTGGATTAATAAAGTAAAAACTGTGTGGTTGAAATTTGTGCAGGGGAGAGAGAATTAATTTTAGCCACATATTCCTTACTTTAAAAGGAAATGACAAACCTTTTTGGGACATCCAAAAAAGGAAATTTGGCCAACCTTTTCGGGACGGAGGGAGTACAATAATAATAATTCTTTTAGATGACAGTCACTAGATTATATTAATCATTTTGAAATATCACTGGGAACTGTTTATGACTTTACATTGAACATCTTTTGGTTTTTTGTATCTTTAATAAATTTACATTGCCTGTGTGATTTTGTTATCATATGCACCTAATAAATTAGCTTTGTTTTCTTATTGAACATGATGCTGCTCCATGTAATCAGGAAGCTGTGAAAGGGCAATTCTGGCGCTTGCGAGATTCTCAAGGGAAGCCGCCAGGAGTTATGGGGTGGTGGCCTTCAAGGGCTGTCACATTTATTGACAATCATGACACTGGATCCACACAGGTGTTTTTTTATTACTCCTATGTATAATTGTTTTCTAAGTGACACTTCAAAAGTGTACTTCAATTGATCTTTTGGCTGTTACTAAAGTCGTATTACTCTGCAGAATCACTGGCCTTTCCCTTCCCATCATATTATGGAGGTATGATGTTTTTTTCATAATCAAAATACACTTTTTTGTTTCCATCAATATGTTGAGAGTATTTCTGAAAGAATTATAAAAATGATACTCAAGGACAAAAATACAGCTAAATTGTTATGGTTAAGCACATCACAGTCAAATTGGTCACTTTGCATTAAGGATGCCACATTTTTTCCATGACCTTTTAGTTAATACGGAGTAGTCACTATAATGTAAAACTAAACACCATGATGGTAACTCAAGTTACTACAAATATACTATCATAGTCACTGCTCTATAAAAGTCATATTTTGCCCACTACATTTATTTATTTACTTCATGTATTTGTCATTATTTTATACATCAATGCATCTTTGTTTTGTTATCCAATCTCAAAGGGCTATGCATATATACTCACTCATCCCGGGATTCCTGCGGTATTTTACGATCATTTCTACGACTGGGGAGATTCAATTCACAACGAAATCGTGAAGCTGGTATGTGTTAATTTAGCACAGCAAAAACTCCAAATATGCCAGTTTTCTTCCTATTGTGTTGTTCCTCCTAACTCCATGTATACCTTGGTTCTGGATGAAATTTTACAGATACAAATCCGACGCAATCAAGGGATAAATAGCCGTTCATCCATAAGGATTCTGGAGGCTCAGCCAAACCTATATGCTGCAATAATTGATGAAAAGGTTTGCATGAAGATAGGGGATGGGTCGTGGTGCCCAGCTGGGCTGGAGTGGACTCTTGCAACTAGTGGCTGCCGCTATGCTGTATGGCACAAATAACAATCTCGTTCTGGGATTGAGATCACCATCCTCTAAAGGGTTATGGGAGGAGGAAAATTGTCAGTCCATTACACAAAAGTATTATTAGGGATGAGATGGTGCACACTAGACCATATATGGAATAGGATGGTGATAAACACATAGTCTGTTTCATTTACTTTTACAGTAGAGCATTTTCAATACAAAATTGTAAAACGTTCACTAATCACTAGTGCTTTACCAAAAAGTTTAAAGGAGTCCCGCATGATTCCCTTGTGAGTCATATGGGGTATTGTGGCACCATAATCACCGTCCATTTTTCTAAAAAATGAGTTGGTGACTATGATGCCACAATACCCCATATGACTCATAAGGAAGTTATATGGATCTCCATAAATCTACTCTGGTTTACTCCCACATGAGACATATATACATAAAAATTAATAAATACTAAATAAGACTTGTCTCTTTACTTTCATAGTTTTATGCATTTTTGGTAATCTTTTTCTCCACAATGTCAATCATGATGCAGATATAAATATTGTGTTTGACATTGTGGATAAAAGAAAAAAACATAGAAGACTACAAAGAAATAGAGAAAATTTATAAATAATTTTTATCTCTTTAAATCAGATCAGACTATGACAATTTATATGTTTATCTCTTTCATGACAAAGACATATGGCAATAGTTTGAGCTACCAATTTGCTCAATCATTGAAATTAATTGATTGATCAACATGTTTGATGTTCTTGTGTAGTTATGTAATGGAAAACAAACGAACTATCCTATTTTGGTCTATCAAAGAATACTTATTCAAAGAATACTCACTTTAGTCTCAAATCAAATCAAACTTAAACATGTCAGATCAGACTTCAAAAATTGTAAAATACACAGAGACCAGACATCTACTAAACAAGTTCAGATCAGATCAAATCAGATTTATTAAACTGGACTAGATCAGATCAAATCGGACTATAAAATTTCAATCCGGGTAAAAACATCTGTAGTCTTAAGAGCACTTAAAATCATCGTAATACATTTGTTAAGGATGAATGTGGAAGATAACTACTTATTGTGATTCTCTAGGGTTTCCATTATGAAAGTTGAGAGATGGTATCCTATCTTGGGGAATGCATCAAATGCCCTTTTCTTTTTGTGTAGCCTTTGTGAATCAAATAAACTAAATGACTAAATATTTAAATAAGAATTTAAATTGTAAATTGTAGATGAATAAAAACAAAAACATTTTAGAATAATGAACTATTAGTGGGTGGTTTTGGAATTTTTAGGTTAGAATCATTGATTGTGTGAAGAAAAATATTTGAATCAAGGGAACATTATGTCAAAGTTACATAACAGCTAAAATTTTATTGTTAGTAATCTTTTTCTTCCTCGCTGGCACACTTGGTCCTCCTTATGTACAATTACTACAACACGTGTACTAGATGCAATCATAAAATTATACTACGTATATAATAATTCAATAAACTTCATAAAATGATCTTGTTTATTAGATTAATATTCTTACTTCATAAAATGATCTTGTTCAAGAAATAAACTTATTATGTTGAAGCGAGACATAAACCTATTGTCAATGATAATTTTTAGTGGAATTTGTTTGAAGGATGAATATGTTTAGATTAGTATGTCCCTAGAAAGTTTATCCATATTCACGAAAACTTATTCAAAGAATCCACTCGAACGTTTTCCAAATGTTAAAAACGTTATTGGGTATCTGAATTGGAAATACTCTTACTTATCACATTTATAAATAAATCAACAACTACAACTCTGTTCGAAGGCCTCAAATTATACTTATGACGTGTTTACCTCGCCGCGAAAGTCACGGTAATGGGAGTAAAACATGTGAAATAAACACACATGTTGCTTAAAAAGATGTTTACTAACCTATACAGGTGCTTAAAGTGCCGCTTATTAGGCATATCAATCTCATGTATTAATTAAGCGGCATTTTAAGCATTTTCAGTTTCCTTATTTACCCTCACCATTGCCCTTACCCCTTACTGTCACACCTACCCTACCCCAACCTCTACTCCCACCCGAACTTGTGCCCTTACCCCTACTTGTACTTGTACCCTACCCCAACCCAACCCTAACCCGCACTCGTATCCCTAACCTCCTACCCCTACCCCGACTTTACCAATACACGACCATATCTCACCCTTACCCCAACCCGTTCCCCGCCGCATACCCCTACCTGGGCCCTTACCTCGATCCTACCCCCTACCCCGTTACTCCTACCCATACGGCCCTACCTATAACCTTGTGTATTACTCGAGATTAATTTAAAAGGATTAATATTACTACTCATACTAACAAGGTGCGTGTCCTTTTAAGCGTGCTTGCACGAGAGTAGTCTTGGGATGAGTGACCTCGTGGGAAGTTTCTCAGGATGCGCACCAGTGAGGACAAAGTGCACGAAAAAGGCTTGTGACAGTTTGAGAACTGCTTATTTTAAGCGTCACTTACTAACGCAAATCTTAATAAGTACCGCTTAGTAACATGTGAAGTAAACATGTTGTTATTTCTCTATATATGCACATAAATGACAAAATGAATCTCATGAATGTCATTCTAATTTTTAAAGGTGTTAAAGTACTCTTTTTCGTACCCATTCAATACCCTATTCATTCAATTTTCTCTAGTCAAATAAGACGTCATGCACAGTTCACTGTTTTTTTTTTCAAATGTTTTTTACGCATTACTTGCCTTAGAAGCCGCAATATCAAGATTTTCACTCTTTATTTCCGTTTATTCTAGACACAAGAGATATTGTTGTCGGAATAAAAGAAAAAATTATCTAGACATCATGTCGTTATTATCCATGAATACCCACAATTAAGTAAACCGTATGTGTAAATATAAATAAATTTAATTACAAATAATATGACTTGTTTAAATGCATATATTATTAGAATTTGAACCACATGACAAAAATGAAGTTCATAAAAACTCTCTACTTAGGTTTCTATTTTTTTTTATAATCCAGGTGTCGGGGCTTACGCTCCTATAATAATAGAGTCTATGAACTATCCTCTAAATCCCCTGAATAGTTAAATCCGGATCTGATCACAATCAGCCTCGTTGATACTGATTCCAAAAGACGAATCCAGCAGAACTTACATCACCTGTTAAAAATAATCAGGATGTGATCACAATAATCATCCCTATTGATGAAAAAAATCTTAGTTTTATTTTCATATTAATTAGCTAAAAAACAGTTAAAGTAATGAATTAGAATTGGAGTTTACCAAAAAAATAGAATTTGGTTAAGTAGTTTTTTTAGTTAAACTTTTTGCCATCCTTAATTTGCATCTGAACTATGTAAAATGTAAATATGTCAGAAAACAGCCTCAGTCCCACCCAACAAAAAAGTGAGAAATTTGCTTGCATCTTCTTAGACTTCGCATTAACTCCTTGATCATTCTTCAGCTGATCAACTCTCGCATCGCAGAAAGTATTCGACCCCGATGGTTGGAACCTTTGATTAACCTCATTAGTTGCTGAATTACACTATTAACCGAATCTGGCGGCACAAAGTTGAAGTTACGTTTAAGTATACGAGTTGGAATTTCTTCTTCAGATCCATCTCCAAGTGGCTTTTCAATTGCATTTCTGCAGAGGTGCAAACTGAAAAATGCTGCGATTAAGGGCTTTCCGGCCGACAAATGATAAAATTGTGAAGATTCATATGCACCCAACACATCCGTGGCTCGTCACAGCAGATGCATCGGATCACGTTTCTGTCTGGAATTGGGAACACCGTCAGGTTTATATATTTCTTGTTGATTATAGCTACATTTTTTCCCTTCTTAAGTCTACTGTTTCAAGTGATTCATTTGGATTTTGCATTAAAATGGATTTTGTTAATTAGGTGATTTATGAGCTGAAGCCTGGCGGTGTAGATGAGAGGCGCTTGGTTGGGGCCAAGCTCGAGAAGCTTGCTGAGGGTGAATCAGGTTGGATTTGTTTTCCAATTCTCAGATAGTCACGTCATCAATTTTCCATAGCTTCTGTAGTTTTCTCCAACTGCATATTCTCTTGATTTGGTGTAGATTGTATATAACTATAGCTGGAGTTATGTTACAAAAGAGTTATTTCAATTACATATACTAGCATTGGTAAAAATATGAACTAGCATTCCTGGATTAATGGGTAGACTGGAATTGTAGTGAAAACATATTTAGGTTTCTACGTGGTATTTTGATGTGTAGAAACTAGAAACAGGCTATAGATGTTTACGGTTGCTATTTTTCCAGTCAACCTGCAATAGTATACCCCGGTAGAGGTCTTTCTCCATACGTTTCACCTAATAGGAATTACCTCAATCTTGGATTTTTGGATGCTGATAATAGCCTATCATTTGCCCTAGGTTTCTTATGTGAGAAATATTAAATACCCCAGGGATGACCAAGAACGAAATTTATTGGAGAGTTCCCATGATTCATTTTCATTTACCCCAGTGCCGCAAAGGCTCCCACCTATGGTGGGGTAAGGGGGGGTCGGATGTACGCAGTCTTACCCCTGTACTAAAGTACAGAGAGACTGTGTCCTGATGACCCATAGTGAAAATCGCGTCTAAAATTGCATGGACTGACTGCTTCTTCATAACAAAGAAGCGCAGACAGTTTAGTGAGTCATTTTTGCTTTACTCCATCATATTCTCAAGCAAAAAAATAATGAATCTTTGGCTCCATTGCAAATGATGGAAAAAGAGTTCCCATGATTCAATATATAAATATATAATTACAATAATTCTTGTTGAGATTTTTTTAATAATTTGAGGAACTAAATTCATTCACTTTCTTGGGAAAATGACTTGATTTTCACACTCAAATCATGTCTGAAAGAGTGAGAGATGGAAACTAGTGAACAGTATAAAACATTTGTTCATTGACTTATTTGTGCTATAAATGTCATAGGCTCACTGTTCTTAGTTATCATTATCCGAGCCAAAGGTACATATGTGTCGAATCTAATTATATTTGTAGAATTTGGTCAAAGCAATGAATCACGGTCTCATTAGTTTGAGATAACTTTCAAGTTGGAATATCTTGGGTGAAGTGGTAAATGCTTTCATGAACACTAGACCATGCAAAAAAATATGAATGAAAGTTTGTTTTGCTCTAGAAAATGCAAAAGAAATTGAAATACGAATAATGTTTTGAAAATTTTCAGACATGTTCACATTTTGAGTTTATTTGATAGAAATAAATAAATATATATCAACAGTAAATATATCGAGTTTAAATCAATGTTTTATCCCCCCATTACCTTTCCTTCCCGCCAAGCTCTTGCACTGCCCATTGTCTTGGATTTTGATATGGGGTCATAGGGTGATAAAAAAATATTAGTGAGAGAATATAGGATCTGTCCAAGGTCACCAGAAAGAAGTAAGAAAAGGAAATTAATTGGAAGTTGAATAGAAAACTATATCGTATGCCAATTCGCGCC